ACACAGAGTAAATACATATACAGAGCTGTAACTGACCGTTGTAAACACTGCGGATGCTTACGTTTTCATGTACCCACTTTTTTCAGGCGACCGGGCAGAAAATGATCAACTGCGCGTGCTCGGCAAGTTCCGCGAGCACGTTAAAGCGAGTCGTCATCCAATCAGATGTATGCATCTAGTAACTTGCCGAGCATGCGCACAAAAAAAGTGGGTACACTAGTTACATCTCTGTATATGTATCTACTCTGTGGCCAAGATAAGTGTATACGACTAGTCGTTTCGTGTAGATGGGCCTTAAGAGGCAGCAATTAAAATTTCGTCAATTTCCCCGCATTAATTTCTGTTTTCTAGGGCTACGGGTCACCGATTGCGAATAATCTTGAATTTTAAAAGCGGGTAATGTTTAAAAGGTTGTTTTAATGGCAGCGCACGAGTCCTTCATATTTTAAGTTTCTTGTATACATGAAAAAATTACTCGATTCTGATTGGCTAAGGGGTGCGCAAAAGAACACAGTGCCAAAAATGAAATACACGCATCGCCAAAAGAAGAAATACATGGCAAGCGCCAAAACAAAAGATATTTTGATTTAGGTTTTCACTTCTGGCAGTAAAAACTTGTATTAGCTAATTGTTTAACCAATTATTATTGCTCAAATGAGCAAATTATTTAACTTTTAAGCCTGTATTCTGAAACCGACCGCTACACGTCAGCAATCGATGCCGACAGAGGAAAAAACTGCTTTGCCCAAAAATACTTGCCTAGTAAAAAACAGGCTTTCGCTGTGTTTCATGCCTGTTACTGTAATGACAATATATATTTGCTTCTGCATGATTTGTTCGTGTTTATTAGTATTATGGTTTATTGAGCAATTTGTAAAACCATGCAAACACTCAGGAGTTGTTCAAAGACTTCAAATTACGCTCGTATACAATTTTGATCATCTTTTGAAAGACTCACTCATGCATGTGAAAACATATTATTACCTACACATATAAATGAACCCTTAGATTAAACCCTTTGAGCCTAGGACTATACTGTATAGGTTCATTTACTGCAGGCACGCTTGATGGGGGGGAGACTTTATTTGAAAGGAAATATTTTCTGACTGCTGTACTAAATCTGCATAGGCAGCACTCACTATACCCTATAGGAAACTTTCTTCTCTCGCGCCGGCAACGCAATAAAATGTGAATCGTTGCGTTTTCCGGGCGAGAGAATTGCCTCGCACGTGTGCATACTTTTTTACTTTATTTTTATTTTTTCCCTCTCGCGCCCTCCAACATTGATGAGCAAAAACCGTAATCCAACAAAATAAAGCTAAAGTGGATTTTACAACATTATTTGAACGTATATGATAAATTTATGTTCATTAATTTATTAAAAAACATCAGTAAATATATTCTTAAACGCATCTTGATTCTCTTCTTCGTCATCGCTATAATAGAAAAAATATTTCATCTTATAACATGCAAGTCAACTGAAACTGTTTAACTGCACGAATTAGTGTGACAAAGTCCCAAATTGAATGTCATATTCCGCTATAAATTGAACAACGTCATTATTCTATGGTTTGTTCAACCAAATCAATTCATGCTAAAATTAAAGGATTAGTGTCAGGGTCATGCATTGCGGGCTTTTGTTATTGTTTACATTTTACTCAAATACAACAAATAGCGATAAAAATACCTTGTTTGGTACATTTCTGAAAAAAATCAGACAAAAAGAGCAAGGATTATAAAAAGATGGTTTAAATATATGACGGATTGTAAAAACTTTCCAGATCATCTAATCTATTAGTCCCGAAAAATGGCCGCCAGGCAGCAGGAGTTTGAGCCGCGAATTCCTGGCGTGGTGACACCAATCCTTTAAGTCTAGGCTTCGGGATAATGTCAGGCTTTTGTTACTGTTTTATGAAAGTGATCACTGAGAAGTAAAATATAACAATAAAAAATCTTTGTTCGGTGCTATTCTACTGTGAATGATTTAAAACTAGCTAATACATAAACTTGAATGATTGCAAATATATTTGACGGATTGAAAACGAGAACTACTCGACTAGTCGGGCGAGAAAAGGCCGCCATATAGTTCGTTTTCAGTCCGTCAGTTATCTTTGCTGACAGGGATTTTTAATCTGCAGTTCTACACAAATTGCAATAGTTTAAATTGCAGTTCTTAAAATACAAATGTGCAGTTACTAGTTGCCGAAAATATAAAATATAACATTAAAATACGCTGGTCGCGTTTTCCTTGTGGGTGCTCCAGAAAATACCAAGGAATTTTTTCAGAAATTACTAACGTGCTCCGGAATTGGAACAGAGGGTAAAATTAGGCGAACAAAGACCCCCGAAAAAGGTCAGACACTTTTCCTGTTAACATTTGAAGTGTTGGTGGCGTAGTGGTCATGCAATGCATTCAGATTTCAGACGCCACAAAACGTTTTGGAGAGAAGTCTTTTAAATGAAATTCTGTCTTTGAAAAATTTATAATGTCATACAACAGCGTTCGTTGTTATGATGATATACGACAAACCATGAATCTATGATGTATATAATCACACAGGCGTGCTTTCTTATTTGTTGGTACCCAACCCTCTCCCCACACCCTGAACCTATCCCAACCGGGGGACGGCTTGTGGTCGGCAGAGTCAAAGATATCAACATCAGAATCAAAATCTGAGGCAGATGACGAATATCCTCATACAGTATGCTACCTTGTGTAACATAACAGAATGTCTTTATTTACCAAGGGTAAAACATATATAATAGTGGAAACTGCGTGATAAACTTGTGGCCCTTGTGATCATATTTTAACCCTAACCATTAAGTCTGAGCGCAGGCTAGCAGGATTTGTGTCAGGATTGGTAGCTATAGATATATTTATAATGTGAACGAATGCACTTTGCATGCATACAAGGAAGTGAAGGAACTGAAACAACAGTCCTGAAAATCCATATGTACATATTGCGACATGCACCTGGAGTGACCATGCAAGTTGCCATACTTAGCGTAGTCGAGCAAGGGCAAGATAGTTAATTAATAAAGCCAATCCATATCATACCTTACACCCGAGAATGCGTTCAAATAACATTGTGAAGAATTAAAACTAAAAAAATAGAAAACTATTATTGAGTGACATTTTGTGAATAACGTAGTCGTGCATTTCCGTCTAAACATCAAGCTTTTGTGTAACCGAACTTCTAAATTCTCAATTGCCAACAACAAAATATCCTTGAAGCAAAGGAAAGCACCTTTTTTTGGAAGTGAATGGGGTGTGAACATTTCTTCAACAAACAATTTTGCAAACAATTTTTTGCGGCTGCTTCCTAGGTCTCCTGCTTATATACATATAATTTTAGTTAGTTGTCCAGCCAATAAAAGTTTATTAAGTTTGGAGACTAATTCTTTCGCTTCTCATAACGTATAAACAACCTTTTTGGATCTTTTTGTTCTTGCAAACAATTTTTTAAAACTTTCTTATATAATAGTAATGGTCCGTCCGTAATGTTACCATGCATTGGTCACTTTAAAGGATGCTATAGGGATCTAATACGCTATAAAGACACTAATATGCAAGTAATGTTTTACAATAATCTCCGTGCATGGTTGATGTCTGTACTACCTGAAAAAGATTCAGAATATTTCGATGTTTCAAGCATGCATGACTGCCGTAGTGACAGCACATAAGAATATGACACTGCTTTCTCTATGGCTTGTGTTCGAGTCCACTACACCGATGTCCTGGAGGCTATCTTATCTCACAATCGTTGAAAAGTATCTTGCTATATCAAAGCATTGCAGCTGCTCACCTTATTGAACCAACTGAATTCGTAACTTGTTTTCCGCAGGTATTTGTATTGGCTGCCTCACCACGCGATATGCCCCATTCTCTGTCACACTTAGCATTGTTGGATCTTTCTTGGAGGACACTGACATGTACGGACTTATGAAACGACTTTGTTTTTGCAGTATCTTCTACTCTGGCCAGCTTTTGGGCTTCAGTCATTAATTTTTGTGTGTCACTGCTTGGAAGTGTGCCGTATTCTGGACCCATTTCCCATTCTGGGCTAGACTGATGCATGCGTTGTTCTCCGTCATATAAACGTTGTGTTTGTGGAGAGATCATATCTTGGTCAGTCGACAAAGTGTTGCTGGGTTTACTGGTGATGTGTGTATTAATTTTATTTCCACCAAAATAAGCATTGCTATTAAAATATTGACTTCGTGGCAAAGATTCCTGTAACCGTGTTTGTACTGCTCCTTCTTGTTCTTGGCCATAACCTTCCTTTTGAGTTCCACTGTAAAAAATACTAGGTTGATTCTTCCCGAGGCCATTAGAGCTGAAGTCATTCATGTGAACCGACCTTCCTAGATAGCTCATTTCATTTTGCCGTTTCCTTCTCGCTTCTGCCACATCAGCCGCCGTCAAAAAGTCCCCATGTAGACTGATTTTACAAGGTAATGGTTTTGTCAAAGATTCATTGGGTGAACCAGGATTAGTTGACCAACTGAAATTTGATTTACACTTCGGGGAATTTGACAAACGAATGTTTTTCGATGGTCCAGGATTATTGTTACAAGAGATGGATGACTCCCACAGGTTTGACTTGTAAAGACTTGCTTTGGGTGGCAGTTTCGCTGTTGTTGATGATTGGTTTGCCAAGGTTTGCTTGTTCTTGTTATCGCTAAGTAAAGAGGATGGTTTGCACTGAGTAAAATCGGGCCGTAGGAACGAATTACATTTGGCGTTTGTCATAGACTCGTCAGTTGTTGTTGGTCTAACTTGTGTTTGGTTTCCGGGATAACTACCGGTCGTATTTGGTTTTAACTGTCCTTGGTTTGAGATTGTACTATTTTGGTATTTCTTTTGATGATAAAAGTGTACATTGGTATCTGGTAATGGTGGTTCGGTTGACTCATCTCTTTTTGATTGTTTGGGTTTATCATCCAGAAAGCCAAATTCTAGATACCAGTCATCATCTTCATTGTCGAAATCCTGGTCCCAGATCTCACCAGTCAGGTCAATCTTATCAGGATTCCCTAAAACATATCACTTATAGTTTAGAGTCTATACAGTTGTGACTACAGCCTGTTTCATCCAGTGAATGAATCTTCAGGTGCTTCTTCGAGGTGGTGGCAACATTGAGATAAGCGAAACTATATAATTTGCTTTATCGAACACTCTCTTTTGCATTTCCTGAACCAAAACCATGCAGTCACTGATATAGTTGTACACGCTTTCACTCTATATATGTGAGAGTTTGACATATTTGCTTCAATTTTGTTCTTTTGCATTTTTTATCAATTCGAACTAAGCCTTTGAACAAAGATGAAATTAACATAACAAATGAAAATTAAAAGTTTGAGTATGACGTCACGCAAATGACGAAATATGCACAGTCTATCGATTGTTTTCTACGCTGATGCAAAACACACCGAGCTTATCTGAGCATGTGTTTGTACCTTGATACTATATAATTCATACAAAACATCTCATAAGGCCAGTTTTTACTTGAAATTCTTGCTGTGATATCCTTTTCCTGATGCATGTGAAAGATAAGTTATGAATGTCCTGAGTATACGTATACCTTGAACTTAACATTCTCATAACTCATCCACTCGTTCACATCCATCAAAATGGCAGCGAAAAATGCAAGGGTATAAACGAGCTTTGAGATCAGCATACTGACAATATAGCCTTTTAAGTCTCTACTTTTCCGGCCAATTATTAAAAGGCATACCAAAATAGATTGCTTTCATGCATGACCACAATTCTATTATTAGATCAATATTCGTAAGATTTCAAAGAAATATATAAAGAAAAGGTGAAGGCACATGCGCTGTGCCAACATGCAAGACCTTAAAAGTATGTGATTTACCTGTCTTTATAGTATCTTCGTAGAAATCCATCTCCTGCCAATCGTCATCTTCAAAGTCTTCGATATCTTCTTCAGTACCTGTGTGTTGAACATTCACACGTGATATCTTTGCTTTCCTTTTGTACTCGTATTGCGAGAGGATGCTTCTCCCAGTCCCAGATCGCGAAAACTCAAAATCAGTTCCAGTAGAATGACCCTAGAAGATACATATCTGAATTGTAGATCCCATATTACATATACAAGTATTAACACTGATAATACATTTTGCGCCCACTACTTGAGCTACGTTTGTAGACAATCGGTCATTCACTGTTTAAGATATCCAGCCATTCAGAAGCGCTTTTTGGCTTCGTGCTGTCCATACTGCTGCTGTTGTTGTTGCTAGCGTCGTCGTCGTCGTCGTTGTCGTTGTCGTTGTTGTTGTCGTTGTTGTTGCTGTTTTATCTGGAGTTATATATCCTATAGTTAAAGCAACGTTCTATTCCTAGCGACTGCGACAGTTGCCTAAAACTATATATAACAAATGCTTCTATGTTAATTTCCCAAGGAAGTCCCAAAGCTGGTTTGGAATAAGATATTTTATTTTGTCATTTACTTTAGGTAACTTATATATTTACCAAAAGTCGTTTTCTTCCTGGCGTTGCCGGAATCAATTGATTTCTTGCATGTAACTGATCCACGAACGTGTTCAACTTGGACTCTGAAATGATTAGTTGATGGGTTATTACATTCTAGATTACAAGACTTCAAAAGTTTGAAAATTTACCTCGAGATCTACTTGTATTTTCATTTCTCGGCGTTTTCCTGTTTTGATTAATGTCCGACCACTACGAATGAAAAAATTATATGTATGTTATTGATTGAGCGGAAGGTCCGGACCATTGTTTTCCATAAACTGAGATGTGTTTTGATACAAATCTATTAATAGAGAGGTTTAGCAAAGACGACGCGACATCAAAAATGGCGCAAAAATGGCGTGATATGCCTATCTATGGATGTGTCCACTGTCCACTGCCCACGCCATTTTCACGTCGTCTTTGACGTCCAGCCGTCTTTGCTAAACCTCTCTATATAATAAGAATCATTACCTTTGGTTCGATTTTCTTAGCAATAACACCAATTTTGCAGCATTCGTGCGCACATCTTTTCAAAGTTAAGTCAAAACACATTTATGACGTCTTTTAGCTATTATATACCCTTGAGACTAGTATAGACATTTTTTACCTTTTTATCTTAGCCAATTATTTGTGTTTTTATGTATAATATGTTCCTTGTATAATAAGTATTTAGTTTCAAACGTAAACAAAATAATTTTAACACGCGCTGTAATCGAAAAATTGACAACCTAATTACAGCGTCATTGTATGAGTTTAGAAAAAACTTCTTTCGCTCATTATAGAGACCGTATCGTTTTCTGCGGGTAAACGGTATTAAGTCACAGTGTTGCCTGGCAAGTAGCAGAAAACTTAAGCCTGTTTTTCTCTTTAACCGACTGTATCGTACCAAAGCGTAGCGTATTGCTTTGTTTTTTAGCACTAGAGTGGAAGTAATGACTTCGCCACAAAAGAAAAGGCTACGATACGTTACGTTACGATGCAGTTGTAAAGTTGTCAAGTAACACATCGTATATAATAAGGATACAAATGTTTGTTGATGCAGCGATGATTGCATGGTTGTCTTTTTTCCGCTTTTTCCGCTCGTTCTCTTCTTTCAGTTTCTGGAGACAGAGCATTTAATTAAAAAAAACAACACGATAAACACGACCTTAGTCTAATTTGGTCTTCCTGTACTGGTAAACTAACAAACGCCTATAATCTAATACATGGTATATGTTACAAAATACATTCGAAGCCTGTCTTGTTTAATCATGTTTTAATTGAAGACTTTTCGTTTAACCTGCATTTTGATTTCGATTGTAATCCATTCTAACTGCACGTCTTCTCCAATTGCCTCACCGAAAATGAGAACAGTAAACTGTATTCGTTGGGAGTGAAGGCGGGGAAGTAAAGTCAGTTTTCCGCTTCGTTAGTCGCATCGTACCGAAACGCAGCGTATTTCTTTGTTTCCTGAGCGGTAGTGTGGAACTAATGACTTGACACAAAAGAAAATGCTACGTTACGTTACGATTGAAGTGGAAAACAGGCTTTATCCCTAAAGGCCTATTTTCAAGTTTCAACGCAACATTTGCATAGGGTCACGTTGCGTTAAATGTATTCCCCATAAATTTGGAAAGTTGCCCCACATTTTACTCGGTCGACGTTTTCATCACGTAAAATACAATAAAAGCATAAAGAAACTAGAGGGCACTCGGAGACTGCATACCTCCGCAAGTGGAATTAAAATCATTTAGAATACTCATTAATAAACCTTGTGGCAAATCATGTCAGCCATAATATGTCACGTGGAGTGACTTTATATCTGATAAAACACATGCATGCATGTGGCATTATATAATTGTTCATCCTAATTAGTATTCTTATATAATTGTTCATCCTAATTAGTATTCTTATATAATTGTTCATCCTAATTAGTAATTCTTTTGTAGTCGTATTTTAAGCTATTTAAAAACACGAGTAGGAGTGTTTTATCAGACATAAAACGTCCGACTGCGCCTCGCGTTTATTATATCTGATAGAACACTCCTATACTCGTATTTTAAAAAGTACATTATACACAAATTATACAATGGGCTAATTACCCATTCAAGTTTACTATGACCGAGAACGTTTGCCATAAACAAACTTTAATCAATTTAAAGTTTGTTCGTTCACTGCAACCAGGTATATCAATCATGTTTCGCTCGCTACTCTGGTTTAAATAAATTATTACAAAGCCCAGTCGAATTGTAATCAAGACCCAACGTTTCGACACTCCAGTCTAATGTCTTCATCAGGGGTGATCTAAAATTGCAATCGTGGCTTCGTAAATACTCAAGGGATGACGTCACCTGCCAATGAGATGCATATATTCCTCTGGCAAATAGGCACCGTCATCCCTATTCAAAGCATTACTCATATTTATATGCCACGCTGCAACATTTAAATTCTATTGAGCCGTCCATCCAATTCACGGTAGAACGTGAGATAAATGGACATTTAGCTTTTTTAGATTTGAATGT